TTTCGAAAAGGTCTACGAAAAGGTAGTCTTTCTTCTGCTATTTTTAATTTTCTTCGATAAGAACGGATAAAATGTTTATATATGTTTAAAAACATTGTTATCTCAACTACCAACAAAAAATTCAAATGCCTAAAAAGTATGCGAAACTTCACATCATCTGCCAAGAAAAACATACGAAGCACTACTTATACCAAACCGTTTCCATGAAATGTAACGGGCGTAGACAATAACACCTACATCGTAAAGTAAATTCCGTTTCAATTTAAATATTGAACATTCGGTGATTAAGATTAGGTGTGCGCTTGACTTTATTACATGCTGGTCAAGGAAATTTGATGACATTTATGTCACAAATAGGTTTAATGTTGGCTTGGTACGACGGGTACTGGATTATGCATTGGTTGCACGATCGCCTTTTCATCACTGCCATATTGATTCTATTGCATAGGCAAAGTGTGCTTTTTGCGCTTAGAAATTTAAGTTGGGATCCACATGCCTCTACACCACGATATGAGAATAGGCTACTGCTTATATCTCCAAAAACGTTTGCAAGTCATCGGCTTTGATTTCGGCGTAAAGTTGACTATGTCATTGACTCAAGAAAAAACGTGGATGTTAAAAATGGCATTAACAACCATATAAGCCGCCATAAGGCGACGTTGAATTAAGCAATCATCATCAAGCGAATCTAATCATGTAGGCAAATTTGCTGCACTTTCTCAACCACATCAAATGTGGCGACAATAAAATTGCTGTCGCCGAGAACAAATTTGCATTAGTAATAAATATAAACCAAGCAAAGTTATCGCAAATCTCCTTTTTAGAGTTGTGTTTGTAAGGAAACAGGTGCAAAAGAAAATTTAAACGGCTCTTAGAAAATGTATTATTGATTTAAAAATTTGAAAAAATTTAAAAAACTGAACTATGGACGAAATTACATTTTTGAATTGTGAAGAAAAAGGAAAAAAACCAGTTGAAGTAAGTACAATTTTTTTATTGAATATCGAGTTAAACTAGGCAAAGGCTTTTGTGATCTTTCATTGAAGAGGGGTACAATGACAACCGTGAAGAAAGGATCACCACAACCTTGTAGAAAGGTGCATTGCTGTTTCTAAGGGTTTGTATATAGCAGTATTTAGAATTTGAAGAATTTAACTACAGCTTTTGAATATTTCTCTAGATCGCTGGCGAAATTCTACAGGAAGAAAGAAACAGCTGCTGCAGCCGAAAGAGGCAAAAAAGTTGCATCCACCACAAAAGAGGGAGAGCATACGGATGCTCCTGCACTCCAAGCTGCCTATGCAAATGATGATGTTGATGGTTGTGCGGAGACAGCTTAGTTAAGGTAGTGTGTGAACAAGTTAGAGGACTTAAAAATATATATCATTCGTAAAGTTGTAATTTGGACGAAAATTTTGCATAAAAATTAAATTAATACTGAAAGTATTAGTCCCTATTTTGATTAAAAAGAAAACTTTTTATATACTGGATCTTTTTTTTATTTGTTCAAATATGAGCAGAAAGGAAATAATATTTTGCATACTGGAATCGCTGACAATATATTATAACAGAATTAGTTTTTTGGAAACATCACGAAAAAGGAATATAAAATATATAAATTAACTTTCTCTGGAAAATTTGAGGGAAAGTAATGGAAACGCATTTGGCGACAATCACCGGCAAATTTGCCTACATGAATAGATTTTATTGGTAATTGTCGCATGTTTACACGATAACCTGCCAGTGTTAATTTGTTGAATTCTTGAAAAGAGGAACCAGAAGTTAAAGCCCAAAAAAAAATAACTTTCACTCTATTTTGCAACTTATCTGATCTATCTATAAGCATTTGAAGCCTTCGCATTAACTTTATTAAAGTTCACAAACTTCTTGCACAAAAGTATTGCGTTTACATGGCAAAACATCGAGCTCGTAGGTGGAAAACAATTTCCCCATTTTTTCTCACGATAAGAGACTTATTTGAGCTCAATTTGTGTTAATACGTGCTTCGTTTCTAATAAATTTTTCTTCTTCTCTTTTTTTTCTATTGTTTTAATCGTTCGCGAATTTAACCAAACTGCCTACAATACAAAAACAAATTTTTACAAAATTTAAGTATAACGACTAATTCGCTTTCTGTCCACCTCTTAAACGTGCTAAGAACGCATACATCCTTATAGTGGTGGTTATGAATCACTTTCTTTCCCCGTAAGTTCGACTTTACCCAGATGAACTTTCTCTTCAGAAAACCTTTGGTAAATTTACTTAATTAAAATTGTGGCTTTAAGAAGCTCACCAACACAATTACTTTGGAACATTTGCTAAAAGAATGCCACCTTAAAGCAATAATTTTAGCGAACTTGATTAGTGATGAAGATTTGGAGAAATTAACTAGACAAGAAAAGGTCTGGCTCTTTGGCATGCTTAGGCATGCCGTAGAAGACTTTAACAAAAGCTTCCGCCAAACAACTAAACTTTATAAGCAGTAAGTTGCGTAGTTTGGGTTTATCTGTTCCGGACGGATTAACGGATCAAGGTATTTTTTGTAGTTCGTAATATGTACGCCTTAGTATCGTAATTTCCGAATATGGTCCGAAACAGTTCGTTGAGCTGAATCAAGCCCAATCTCCATTGTTACCAGACAAGGATTTTGCTCTAACGTCCGCTTGACAGTACCGTCGTCAATCAAAGGCTAACGCCCAGCGCCTGGCCCAATAGAAAGGTCGAAGCGATAAAAAGAGAGAGTCAAATATGTTAACATTTCTTGTAACCGGACAGAACTTTTTGTTATCCCAGTTGTAATGAAGGCGTAGATACACTTAAGGTTTCCGTTAAGGTTGAATCCAAAGTTCCAAGCTTACCAAACTAAATCATATTGAAAATATGAAAATGTGTCTACTTCGTAATTTACATAGATTATGAGGCAGATCTTTGATAGAAATATTTCTCTCAAAATCGAACCAAAAACAAAAAACACCCTTACTTGCACCTTTCTTTGTCCTTTCTATTAATAAGATATTTAAGGAAACAATCATGCATGGGTAATACAATAGTCTTCATAAACTCCTTAACATTGGTTTCCGGTATTTATTGTCATATACGATTTGATTGCATATTTTCGCTCTTTCAAGTATGTTTTATTAGAGTACTTTCCTTTAACTGAATCCTTTGCACTTGAATTGAATTGAATTTTGAAGAGGTTATTAAAATTTCGCTTTAAATGCGGTTAAACATAATCAAGTAATGAATGAAGCTAAATAACAATCTGAGTTGGTATAGTCAGGCAATCAGTCTCATACAATTCTGCAGCTGAAGTAAAAACGTAAACATTGTGTTTTCATATCTAAAAATGCATGCACCAGCAATAAGTGTTTGAGAAGTCGTTTACATACAAGAATGATTTATCCGAAAGGATTTCCCCGCTACAATTGAAATGAATTCCAACGAACTCACATAAGAGTTACTTTGAGTTGGAATGTTGATGCACGTTCATCATCATTCAAGATTGTAAGCAAATAAAACGGCAGCAACTGCGACTAAAGAACTGCAATTGAACGTAAACTTATAAACAGATTCTCTTCATGCAACATTATTGAAAATTTTTGCTAATCCCTTCCTAACTCATACATGATTTATAACCGAAATCTGATAATACTATGAACAAGATAAAATTTGTTTGCAAATATTCTTACATATTATTATCATACACTACACCGCGCCGCCCTATGTTGAGCTTTTAGAAAGTCGACTCATAGAATATTAAAAGAAAAAAGAAGAAGATATTGTGACATTTTTTAATTCGGTCGAAGGTAACACCTTCTTTTGAAAAGCGAAAAAAATTCACTCATTTTTCCACATCACTTCGATGAAGGTGATAAAACTTCGCACATTCGTTTACGCGTTTTCACTTTGGAAAGTTCTAGTCAGCAAAACGTCGATGAATTTCTTCCAAAAATTGAAGGGCGGCATATTTCATCCTCTTCATTGTCAAAGAAGCAGCTTTAGACCAGCAGCTTTAGTCTCATTGCCATGAGATTGGGTACGAGAAGAATCTCAATATTTATGCACAACTCGAATTAATAGTGAAAAATTTAGCGGAGCAATCGTCCATCTCCGAATCAGTGGCTGAATTGCCACGGCGTAAGTTAACGCTTCGAAGAAATGCGAAGAAATCGTTGATCATAAACCGTTTCAGCCTGGAAAGGCTGGACCCTATTCGACTATCATCTCTTTCAGTCTTTACAAAGCTCTCTTTCGACAAAATAAAAAAACTGACTTCGCTTAAGTCATCATCAGTGCAGGAGATGAGTAATCGTTTTATCAACAGAAATGGCGGCAGATTATCGCTAATAAAATAATTTGCCCGTTCTAATATCGATCGACAAAGCCGTTGAAAAGGAGTATTACTACTTTTAACATTAATTGAAGAATGGGTTCAATATTTTGAATCACTCCCATATAAACATTGTCAGCAAAAAGTAATCGCTTGTAAAGTAACAAAGTTAAACTGTTATGATGAAAATCGGTGCAAATTTGACACCCTATTGCATCGTATTAAGATTGAACCTCAGAAGTCCATTTACAGTATCCTTCCCCATAAAAGTAATCTCAGCAAAAAGACGCGTTTATGCAGCAAAAAAATGCCGAATTTCTAGTGTTTTATGAGGATACTACCTTATCCCATCCACCATAAAAGGATTCTTACTAATGGTACTTATTAGTCTAGTTTGCCCCACCATTTTTAATTGATTTTAATATTATATTGATTTTAATATATATTTGTCGGGTTTTGAAAATTTTGTCTAACTATTATTGACAACATATATATATATATATATGTATATTCCATATCCGAAAAAATAAAAAATTAAATTTATATTTTATAAAAAAGAAATATTAAAATAAAATATATGTTTTATATTTTTGCAATTTATAATTGGCGAAAACAAATTTAGACCAGAAGAGATACGTAATTAGAAGGTTGATTAAGAAACTGTTTCCTAATGAGTACAAAACGCAAACATTTATCCGATAATTTAGATGAGCATGTATCTAATAAACGTAAAGTAGACGAGAATACGTTAACGATTTTCGAAGCAAATCTAGAAGTGTCCGAAACACAACAACACTTACATGCAGAAGGGGCCAGCACGTCCGCCAAGCAAGACGCACCACATGACATTGACGTCGTAATGTTGGATGATGAGACTGACGGTTCCACATGCATTGGTAATGTTCGTATACCCTCACCGATACCGCCATACTCTTATGCAAGAAATGAAGGGCCCCGTTTGATTGTCAAAAGTATCGAAAACGAGAATTTTAAAAGCTTTGCTGGCAAAGTACTTCTAGGACCATTTCATCATAATTTCAATGCAATTCTAGGACCGAATGGCAGCGGCAAAAGTAATGTAATGGATTCCATATTATTTGTTTTCGGTTCTCGTATAAATTCGCTGCGATGTAAAAAACATTCAACTTTAATACATAGTTCAGCTCGTTACCCAAGCGTAGACAATTGTTCGGTGGCTATGCATTTTTGTCAGATTTCCGATTCTGAAGATGGTTCTTGTCAAGAAATACCCAACAGTGAGTTTATCGTAAAACGGACAGCTTTCAAAAAGGGCACATCTTTCTATTCTATAAATGGCGAAAAGGTTCAGTTTAGTGCAGTAATCTCTCTGCTAAAGGAACATAATATAAATGTGAATGGTAATCACTTTATAGCACTGCAAGGAGAGCTTGAGTCAATTGCATTAATGAAACCAAAAGGTAAGACGAAAACTCAGTGCGGAATGCTGGAATATCTCGAAAGAATAATAGGCACTGACCGTTACATCGAACCTTTAAACACGATCATGAAACACATTGAAGCGTTGACTGAAGAAAGTGAAGTAAGGCATGATCTTTGCCAATTGGCCAAACATGCAATGGAAAGTTTAAAACAACCATACAACAAAGCTATTCAATATCTGGAGCAAGAAAATGAGAATATTCGCACTAAAAACCTTAAAATACAAAAATCTATCAGTGAGAAGAATAAAATATTGGAAAGTTGTTTGAGACAAAAAGACGCATTGAAACAAGATTTACTCGAACGCGAAAGGCTAACCGAAAGTCTACATAGGGAAGTGGAAACAATGAAGGAAGCCGCTCAAGAAGAAATTGTGAACTTCGAAAGTTTAATTCAGAAAAAGTACAATTTCGAACAAGAAAAAGAAAAGGTCTGCAAAAGCTTCACGGAAATTCAGCAGGTTATGGTAAACTTAAATCAAATGCGTAACGAAAATAAAGTTCAAATGAAAATGATCGAATCTAAATCGATAGAACTGTGCGCAATACGCGACAAGTATAAACAAGAAATGGAAGAAGGTGAAGAACAATTGAAGCAAATAGTCGCACAAAGCACCGAACAGGAGAGACAACTTCAATGCAACTATAAACAAATAGAAGACCAGGCTAAGCCACTACTAGCAGAGCGTGAGATACTAGAATCCGAGTTAATGAAATTGCATGCCAAGGTAGATGTAACAAAAGCTGATTTGTCTCTATTAGAATCAGAATTGAAGATACTAAAGTACGAAGAAGTAAGCGAGACAAGTAAATACGATTCTATGAGAAGCTCCTACGAAGAATCGCAGAATGCTTTAAATGAGAAAAAAACCATTGCTGAAGAGCTAAACGAAAACTTACAGGTCATCAAAAGTCAAGCTGAAGAAAACTTAACAATCTTCCGAAAATTGGAAGAAACCCAGCAGGGTGTGGTGGCACAATTAATGAAAGTCAGAGCTAAGATCAATGAGATCATCACAATTATGCGATCCATGCCTTCATATAATAATCAAGCACTTGATTCCTTGATGGGTCAAAAAATCGAAGGAAAGATACCTGGGATATTTGGACGTTTGGGCGATTTGGGTGCTATTGATTGTAAATATGATGCGGCGATTTCCGCCGCCTGTGATGCCTTGGATGGTATAGTCGTCGAGAATGCAGATGTCGCTCAAAAATGCATTGAATATCTGAAATACAATGGCCTAGGTAGAGCTTCTTTCATACCATTAGAAAATATAAAACATTTAGAGACGGATTCAGTTCCTTTTCAAGCACCCGAAAATGTCCACCGTTTATATGATTTAGTGCATGTGGAAGATAAGCGCATTTTACCAGCATTTTATTTTGTTCTACATGATACCTTGGTAGCTGCTGATTTGGAACAAGGTACCCGTATTGCCTACGGTACAAAACCATATCGTGTCGTTACACTTAATGGTGAAGTTATTGAAATTTCTGGCCTTGTGTCTGCTGGTGGCTCTGTGCAAATGCGCGGCAAAATGGGTACGAAGATTCAGAAGCTACCCCTCGACACGCCAGTTATATCTCAGAAAACACTTGAAAACTTGCATACTCAGGCCAAACAATTGCAATCTGAAATCGATTTCAATCAAGAGCAACAAAGTCTAGTCGAACGTGAAATGCAGCAATTAATGAACACTCAACAGCGTACTGAGATTGAATTACAAAAAATACTCATAACTGCTCGGAGTTTGGAAAGACAATTGCCTTACAGTTTTACACAATTGGAAGCACAAAGAACACGCTTGCAACAGACCGTAATCGATGCGAACAATGTCGAAAGAATTGAAACTGAAATTGAAATGAAAAAGAAGAGTTTAACAGAAGTTAAAGACATTGCAAGTGCGATGTCCGAAAAAGTAACGCAAATTAGAATTCAAATTGATTCCATATATGGAAATACTCAAATAAACGTCCAAAATAAAATAAATTATTTAGGCGAGCAGGCAGAGCAAGTCAGCAATAAACTTTCAAAGATAAAAGGCAAACTGACCGAATTAGAACGCAATATTAATAGAATAGATACGCAAATTAAAGAGTCGCAAATGGAAATCGGAATAACCCAGGATAGATTAACAGAATTGGGTGCAGAACGTCAAGCCCGTGACAATAACATTGCTGCGTTTTCTCAACAAATCAAAGAGATTGATGAGAACATTGACAAGCGAAGATTAGAATCATCAGCCATATATAACGAAATGCAAAGACTGAAGAAGCGTGAAACTGATTTGAAGATTGAAAAGGTGGATATTGAAAAGAATCTTCAATCGGTGATTGACAAAATATCAAATCTAAAATCTCAAATAACATATTTTCATAAGGAATTGAAATCGTTGAATTTACATGAAAAATCCCGAAGTGGAGGAAGTCAAATCTCTTTAAAAACGTACACCGAAGTAGAATTAGCTTCTCACACTCTGCAGGATGTACAATATAAAGATGAGCTCGAGGAAAGTTTGCTAAAGAACAGGCCTAATCTATCTTGCATTGATGAATATAGGGAAAAGCGATGCACCTATTTGAAACAGGTCAAAATTCTGGATACCGTCACCCGTAAACGTAACGAAATGCGCAAATCATACGAGAATCTTCGTAAAAAACGCCACAACGGTTTTATGGAAGGTTTCAAAATTATTAGCGACAAACTAAAAGAAATATACCGCATGTTGACCAAATGTGGCGATGCGGAGTTAGAATTAGTCGACTCTATGGACCCCTTTGTTGAAGGTGTGTCGTTTAACGTAAGGCCGGAAAGAAAGGCCTGGACAAATATTTGGTGTTTATCGGGCGGCGAAAAAGCGCTATCCTCACTGGCCTTAACCTTTGCTTTATATTATTTTAAGCCCACGCCATTGTATTTCATGGATGAGATAGACGCTGCTTTAGATTTTCAGAAAATCTCCATCGTGGCAAATTACCTCAGGCAAGGTGTAAGGGGAGCCCAACTTTTAGTCATCACGCTGAGACCGGGTATGTCTGACTTGGCTGATCATTTAGTAGGAATTTACAAAATACGTGATTGTAGTGAGTCAGTATGTTTGAGAAACATGCATCCACCACTTCCGCCGAGGGTCCCATGCAATCCACAGACACAATCACAAACAACTTATTTACCAATTGAGTTGAGCGTGCAAGCTTGTACGTTGCCAGATGAAAAATCGCTTATTGCGGAGACTTCAAGCAATGTATGCCACTATCCCGAAAAGCAAAACGCCTTGTCTCAAAATAAGAACACATATATAATTTTCGATAATAATAGGAACGAGAAAAATTACGATAATAGCGAAAATGACGTAGTGGATCTGACACAAAGCAATTTAAATGTTGCAAGCGATTGTATAATTATTAGCAGTCAGGATTCGTTATTTGTAAATCAAAACGCTTCTCGAACCGACTTTACCTTGCCTATTTCTCAAACTCGAAATGCCCCGGATACTATCAGTCTTAGTTCAACGCTTTCATCTGAAAATGACACGGCTTCTCATAACCTAATTCGAAATCTTTATTCGTGTATCGAAAGCTCTATGACCATTGATAGCAATTCAAGTTCTATACTTCGTAGCGACACTGATAAGGCAGAAGGAACCTTTCAAGTGCAAAAACTTGCAAATCGAAATATGTGTGCTACTGATGATATTATAATTATTGATAGTCAAGCAAGCATTTCTTCAAGACTAGCAAGTGATATTGATTCCTTTGGCTAATAGTCTTAATGAAATTGCAATAATTTTTTCGTATTTAAAACGCGGTTCGGAAAATATTTCTACACGTTTCAAAATTTTGTTTTGAGTTTTCTCAGGCAATTATCTATTTTTAAATACTTATTTGAGCAAGATATATTAATTATATTTAATAAAATAATGTTTCCTTTTTTTGAGATGGTCGTGTGCCTTAATCAGAAAATAGGAAAAATTTATCGATGAATTCTGTGAACTGTTTTGGGAATGGGAAAAAAGGAAACTAGATCTGTGACACAGGGCATACAAACTTTGTGTGGACATAGATGAAACCCCGAAGGCCTTGAGATAGGCCCACCTTTTATTATACCCATCGATTTGAAATCGTTTTCAGAATCAATCTAAAGTTATCTGTCCATCTGTCCATATATATTTTTGTTCAACTTACAGGTCGCCCTTTTTGAGATATTTTGATGAAATTTGATACATTAGGGTGTTTTGATCCACGGATGAACCCTTTGAAAAATGATTTGGATCAGTTCACTTTTCCTACTACTCCTCATATAAGGCCTCACTTTCAAACGTCGCTATGTGGGAAAAAATTGCGTTTTTCAAATTTTCTCGAAAAAAATCTCTGAATATTATTTAGTTATAATCTGACTATTATATAGTTAATAGCATTTCGGGATTCTAAATTGGTGTAAAAAATTTGAATCGGTTGGGGCAATTTTATGAATGTCCTCCTATATATACATGGCGTCCCGATCTTACGAAAACTGAATCATTATACGATGAAGAGGTATAATGTTCAAAATTACAAGGCGAAAATTGGTACATAATAGTGAGTAGTTTTGACCACGTAGGTCTATTTTTGGAATACACCTGCGAAATATAAATCTTTGTATACCAAAACATCTAATTGTAAATTTTTTAAGAAGAGAACTTTTGTCAGCGTAGTAATTTTGCATAAAAATTAAGTAAACTAAATTTTGACCGCATGGATCTATTTCTTGGACAGCACTCCACATAAGATTTCTCATGAATAGAAAGCCCTTCCGCATAAGAGTTAATTTTTAATATTTTGTGATGAAAATTAGTCGGTACCAGCAAGTTAGCAAAAAAATTAACGGTAGAGCATTTGGGCCACATAGATCAATTTTTTAAACCCTAACATGTACAGAAGTTATCATGAGAGGCAAGCGCTTATATGGAGAGAAAATCTATCTTCCACTTTTTTATGACGGAAACTGAAATATAATAAAATTTGTAGAGAGTAAACCACGTTTGCTAAATTCCGATCAAGTGAAGTGATGCTTTCGGTGTCCCTCAATATGCGGGCTTTCATGAAAAACGTTCCTTTATATAGAAATAACGTGTAATCTTGGGTGTATTATTGTCAAAATGAGCGAATAATTGTATTAAATGAATCGGGGTACGGTATCTAATGGTTAGTCTTGTCCGATTTGCTTGTTTCTTACTATCGTAGTTTTATATACGAAATGCCATAAAATTATGAGCCTACAGCACTTTTAAAGACTTTTATTACTGCTCGTCGGCTTAGCAGATTTTCCCACGAGAAAATGTATTTTGTGAGTCCGATTTGTCAAACGGATAAGTGCTCACTCTGTGCAATCGTCACGAATTTCCAAAAATGATTATATTCAGGTGGATTCCATAAGAACTCGATCGGACACAACTTAATACGGAATTCTTATCGGTTTTTCTTTATTACACACCTAAGATACATAGTTTTTATTAGTTTGGAAAAAAAGACAACCAACTCATTGCCGGCTTATACTCCTTTAGTATTACTAAGCAGCATACGGTTAATGTATCTGCAGATTAAATTTTTAAGCAAGGTTTTCTTTTAATAATCATAGTTTTTCCAAATCATAATAAAGTATTATAGAAATGTCACAATATTATGTTTTTAACACTTAATCAATGGCATAAAAGTCAAGCTAAACATTAAAGCCGCAATCAAGAGTACAAACAGGGTACGTTTTTATATATGCATTGCTCTCAATTCGTATGAATTGAATTAAAAGCAAAAACATCAAAACAACAAAAGCAACTTGGAATGATTTTCATTAGCAACGATTGTTGGAAGTTGTTGGAAAAAAATGTTGACAACAATTGTAATTGTACTGCAATTGTGCTAAATAAACAGCGATTTATTTCGATCGCAACGTTAAAAGGGAAGGGAAAAATAGAAAAGCATTGTGAACAACAATCATTGCATGGCAAACATACGTTTTCACAATGCAGTCAGTCAGTTTTTGTACTTTCTTTTTTTTTTTTTTTTGCTTTTTTTATTCTTGTTTTATTCATTTTTTTATTTATTTAAGTTGAATTGCGACATAAGTATACAAACAATAATCAGCACGTGTTAAATCATGAATAATTGACGACAACAACTGCATCATTATATCGTTGTGCTATCATCAAACTTTAAAGAAATTCGCACAGACAAAACTACACACATGTATACGAATGGTTGTCTTTATTTATATAAAAGTCACAACATTTTGTTTACAATTTTAGAAGCTACAAACATAAAACATTTGCTCTTAGAATGTGCTCTCATTGCATTTCCAATTCATATTTTCTTAATGTTCTTTCCACATAATCAGCATTATCACCATTATTATCATTGCAAACAGGGATTTCGTTATCTTCAATGTCACTTATGATTTTCTATTTTATATTGGTGACGAATTCTCTTGCACTTGCTCACGTTCTACGTTGTTTGTAAACAAATAGAGATTGCTTTCACAATTTCCCCTTCCTTCGTATGCATTGCAGTTACTTGCACTGAGGCTTGTTTTGTTTGCTTCAACGCATCGCTATTATGTGATGAGATTTTTTACAATATCCACTGATAGATACGGTTTAAGAAATATTTTTTATGTATACGAATAATATGGATAAAGATGGATTTAATCACCAGTACACCAAGCTCTATCATTGTCATAAGGATAGATTTGTTTTAGATATCTATTTTGCATTCTGAACTGAGTATTCGGAAAAATATCCATTAAAGATATGCTTGATAAGCGTAAGATTCTGACACGTTCCGTTCCTACGAACCTTTTCTGAGTTCAACATAAACTCTGTTACGGTGCTGATTTCTGACACAAAATTTCACTTTAATATGACCACGATTAGCCTTTGAGGCCCATTTGAATTTTATTGTTACAATTTACGGAGACCAAAGAAATAAATTCCAGAGCTAACAAAGTAGTAGTGAGGATTAGCAACCAAGGTTAAACTTAAATATTATGATTATTTCATATTGCATTTTCAAAAAAAATTTCAATTTGCGTGACTTTGACAATTAATACTAAAACAAAATAATTTTAAGTTTGAAGCTAGTTGTGATATCAACGTGATATCACGTTGTGACTCATAGTCACAGTTTCGTAAGAAAAGATTCTCGTATTTTGGATCGAGGATATAATTTGACAAAAACTGTGCATGCCATTTTAGGAAGGTAGCTACAGTGTATCACTTTTCATAATTTCTTCACAAGCTATGGGCGGAACCCAATGTTATGTCTTCAGAGAAATCTTTGACTCTTAGCCCATCACTATGACATGTTCGTGAGTCCACATCGTTCATCTTAAGCCGAATTTTTATTATTAAATAATTATAAATTCTTATTTTTATATCTAAAATGGATGGCAGGATATTGATGAATACTAAGTGTATTGTAAAGGAAAAGTGCACAAAGAAGCTTAAAAATTTGTAACAATCGTTTTAATGACATAAATTTACCATCAACGGGTACCATTGTTTTGAAAATTATTGCGTTCACAATAGATGAGTTTTAAGAATTTGACACGACAGACACAAAAACCAATTCAATAACTTTTTTTTTCATTAAGACGCAGTCGGTTGTACCTCATCTAGGAATGACTACAAAAGAGGAATACAACAAATTATTATGACAACAAGGTTTTGCATTCACTTAAGGTATTCGCCTCATTAGCTACTAACCGTGTTATGGTTTCCCAACAACAAAAGCTGTAAAACATGGCAAACAACTAACCCTAAGGTTGGCATGTTTCTTCTTTGCCGGAAGAAGAATAATACCGAGGAAGACATATACCTTGTTGTTAAGATTATTATTTTTCTTTTTCTTTTTTTTTTTCTAAGAGCACAAACGAAATGACTTCAGCAACGCTTTGCAAGGAGTCTACAGCTAAGTCTTTGATAATGAATGCAAATATTTAATAAGCAAATTTATGCAAAGTCGTTTCTTTTTAACCTTAAGGATACCAAATATATAACCTTTACCGTTTGTTGACCTAAAAGAAATGAGAGAATAATCGTTAAAGTAGTTAAACAATTTTCATAATTAAATGATACAACATATCACACATAACCCTCATATGTCACTTACAGCAAATGTCAAATCCTACTGTGCGGACTGTATTGTACACAAGGAAGAATACGACCAAAATTATATTTATTTTCTTTAGAACTAGGCCAATATTAGTAAATAGCAGAGTCTTACTTTTCTGTTTACGTTTTTATTCTGCATCGTAAAAGAGAAGACGCAAAAAATACAAGAGGGTTAACGCGTAGCTCAGAGTTGGCTTTCGCTGTTGCATTAGGGTCCATTGTAAAACGCTAAATTTTTCACCCGGGGTTACCCTCCAGTTTTATCTCATTCAGTATTAAAATACTTCGTTAGTGTACTTTTATAATTCCCTTTACAAAAACAAGAAGTAAGCAAATTTTATTTATTATTATTATTTATTCAATCAGAAAATCACTCTAAGACTGAATACTAGCATCTAAGCTTATCTTAGAACTCGACCAACTCCTAATGCGAGTCTCTTAATTATCAAAGTAAAATAATTTCCTCAATTTAATCAATAATGCACTTTAGGGAACCTTCTTCTGCTATTTAATAAATTAGAATTTTCCCTCCCCTATAAAATATTCGAGGACTTTAGGCTGTCAGTGCTCACTAGCTCTGAATCAATTTAAACTTGCCTGTCCGTCCTGGTGTGTATTTTGATTTTATTTGAAACATTGAATTGCTTTAGTCTAACGGCAAATTGGCTCGGATCGGAAATATCGTATTGTCAATAAGTTAATGTGTAGCGTTGGACTATAGCCCACTAACGTGGTTTTCCTTGTTTTCGATGCTTTTACGATGCAGTAAAATGAAAAGATATCATAAAAGAGAAATTAGCAAAAAAGTTTTTAGCAAAAACTGAAAGATGAATTGAAAAATTATTAAAAAGAATTTATCAAGTAAAAGGTGGGTCCATCTTAAACCCTTCTGCACGTTACATACGACGGCACAAAGAATTTTTTCTCGTCGAGATACCGATAATAAATACCTGTTTCTATCATTATGGATCGTTTCCTCCCACAACTGTTGTAAAATGGCTACAATTACAAAAATGAACAAAAGAATCTGAAATTTTTCATAAATATTCCTCGATCGATAAGCTTAAAAATGGGCGTGATTTGTTTACATGCAAGCCCGCAATATGGAAGAAAGTGAAGCAACCTCGAAAAACCGTCGACATTGTTTTCATGTATTTGTGTACAACTGTCGAACCCCTTGAAGATATTTCCGGAAACCTGTGGCTCAGACGATCAACAAGGTCACTTTATGTTCAATAGAAAAATGGCCTTGGTCGGGTATATTACTATAGCCATAAATGACAAAGATATTTCAATTCCAAGTTATTTCCACTTTATATTTTATTCATTCTAATGCTTTAGTATTTCGTGCATACAATCTTAAATAAATTGGGAATAAGTGTGAAATTAATTGTGAACGCATTGGAAAATCGATCAACACCGTTTTAGACTGACGGTTTTGACAGAGAAATAGGTAGCATATTTACGGGATCGAAAATTATAGATGAAAATATGAAAGAGTGCCGAAGTTTTTGCAAATTTATCCCAGATTCTAGTCTAACACGGACTTGTATGTTGTCATAGCACAATCATTTGTGCGCCTTCAGTTCTTAATCGATCATGGAATGTTTTTATCAGATTTCAGTTTTCTATCTTCATTTTTGCGATCTTAATGAGGTTACCAAAAATATGGTTCCAAATGACCCATAATCGTGGAAAAGAGTCACATTTGCAATCATGATGCTGCTAAAAGGTTTTAAGAAATTTTTACAACATTCCCATTATCCCAGTGCGTAGGTATAGTAATAATAATACACCTATATATATGTGCGTGTATATGTGTATATATAATAATCTCATCTTTGTTTGTTTCAATCGCGCATTATAAAAACAAATAATACGTACGTATAAATATGCACATATATATATACATTTATAAATCTGCATAAGTAAGCTCATAAATAAACATTATTAGGGAATATTAGAATTTATGAGAAAAGTCTCTTATTGAGGAAAATATTAACTATTCATACGAGGTGTATAATATTTTGCAAGATCCAGGGTATACTAGTTTCGTCGTTCGTTTTGCCGCAAATTCTTCACCAACTGATTTGATTTATTTTTTATCAAAAATAAGTGATAACTTTATAACCGAACGAAGTCGATCTCTAAATACCCTACGCTACTTCCCTTAATATTGTTACGGAAATTCCAAATCCTGTTCATTCCGGCTAATTGATTTTCCCAAATTGTAAATTCCCTAAGGACGAAAAAACCAAATGCACATTTGCGGCGCGTCATGCAGTTGTCGGCCGATGAAAAAGATTAGCGATAAGCAGACAGGGTTAATCCGTTAACCACATAGGTTAACAAATAAAGCCATTAACTGAGATAATAGTAATATGCTTGTAAAAATGTATATAAACAGACTACTTGCGGAAGGCAGAGTCAGTCGGACAAGAACATTTGAGTCGAAAAAGCATTTTAGAGTTAAGAAGTCGAAAGTACTGCCAAAGTAAAATGTAAATAGTTCTACCCCAAAATAAATTGATTGATTGTAAATAAAAGAGTCTTGTAGTGAAAACATGAAGTATATTTCTCTTTGAAGAATATCCACGATCTAGTGGTACGAGTTCTATGGTAGAAAAACGAATTTCATAACAATAGAGACAAACATTGATATAGAGACAAGATTCATATAGTTCCGTGAGAAGAAAACAAAAATTGTGCTTTCTTTCCATATAAAGGTAACATTGTCTTAAGAGACCTTATGAGGAAACGAGACAAAAACATCGGCTAACGTGTCATCCAAATCCACCAAAATTGATTTTCTTGTGAAAGACCTTATGATTCTTCATCTATTTTCATCATAACATACCGAAGGATGCTGATTGCATATGAAAAATTTCACTTTGGCTTTCATTTTCGATTGTTTAACACAAATTCATGAAAACGAAAGCAAACATTATTTTTCATAGATAATTTGCTTTCACGTGTAGGCGTGATAAAAAGGTACAAGCTAGAACGCAATTAATTATCGAAATTATAAAGTACTTATTAAAAAAAAAAAAAGTACCGGCATATGTATTACCAAGTTATTATTATTATTATTTTAATTTTAGACTAATGAATTGAATTCTTAGACTAAAAAAAGAGACATTGAGCACTAGCAACACAGGCTATCGGCTCATTACCAAGTTAAAAATAATGATCTCAACTAAATTCAAGAAAAGAATCGTATATCGATAAATAATCCAAATTAATCGCTGATTTTATTAACGTTCGAACGAAGTATTTTGTATTTGCACTGG